TTAAATTGGTCACAACCAATTTCTAATTTTCCAACATGATCTTCACTGTGTAAATTATATACGTGTTACAGATTTATTTCGTATGTCACGTGAAGATTTGTTCCCCTTCTATTAATCCATGCATATGTGATTAGTTGATTTGTATATCATTGAACAATATAACTATAAAGAATTCATTTTGTGTTCATCTTCGTCGCTTTCAAACGCCAACCGCAATTGTTGTCCATACAAATAATTGTGTATGTAGACTTGCTTGATTTCTTTACTTTAAACTCAAAGTTATGTTTCATTGCAATCTAGTGCACATCTTTCTACAAATCTCTCTTCGTGTCAAGCGGTCGATCGAAATGCAAATCTTCATCATTGAGAACCATATGATCACAATTAGAAGACTGTGTACTCGACCCAACCTATGAACTTCTACCTCACTTATGTCTCTAACTAGATAAAGCAATCAAATCCTGATTTGCAAATCGCATTTCATCTTCATTTTCTTGAACTACCTCGTGAATTCTGATTGTAATAGTGAGATCATGGTGAATAGCAATGTCTCGAGAATAACTACATTATCCTAACGAGTTATCTTCACTATATCCCAAAAATCATTTATATTATGATCCTCTCCATTAGAGTCTTCGTGTTCACTCTCGGGGACATTCTTCCTCAATAAAATTATGCAAACAAGAGTCGACTTACTGTCTTGGTTCAATTTAATTAGCAACTTCATTTGCACTTTAGAAGTAATTTTCACAGGTGGAATCGAAATGGTTGAATACTTGTGAAATAAAAATCTCAATTCGATATCGTATTGAGAGGGATCGACGTTGAGCAGGTTTTGTATATCATGGTACATTTTCGTAAAACGATGTTCTCGAAGATAATCAAAATTCCAGTAACCCCATCTTCTTTACTCTTCTATTTCCATTCTCATTGACCATTTTCATTCCTTTGAAATTCACTAAAGTAAGAAATCAGGAGACATGCTAATGCCATATTTGCACTATGAATCAAAATATTAGAAAAAAAGTTAGATTAAATATAAGGAATTAATCAGAGAGAGAGAGAGAGAGAGAGAGAGAGCGAGTGATCAGACCGTCTGTCAAGGGATGGAAGGGTCGTTAGCCCTAATATTATTCCCCATTTTTTTATAAAATTATCTACGTATGCTATAACATTTGTCGAAATAAAATTTAACGATTTAAAAAATATATTAATTTAACGAAAACGAAATTAAATGTATGTAAATATACTTAACGGTTCGAAGTGTTGGATATAAATGAAATATTTTTGTTAGCGTTTGATAAGTTTATGAGATTTTAAGGTTGAAACAGATGAAAAATGAAAGAATTTTTAACTATGTTGGAGTAAACACATAAAGAAAGTGGCTTAATTTTGAAATTTTAAGTGAGAGGTGTTTGATTATTACTTTGTAACTTAAAGGGTATTCTTGTCTTTTAATTAACAAAAGGTCATTGTGATGAATGGCAAATATTTTTGGCTGGTGTGGAAGTGGTTGTTTGACCAATTATTACTAAAAGTACCCCATTAGCATTTTGGGGCTGTCACAACAGGCTTAATATCAATCTTTTGCTGCAACCATACTAACCCCATAGATAAACGAAGATCTGAATATGTGGAAAGGAGCGTGTTTTCAATTTTTTGCTTATTCTTGTTCGAAAACAAATTTGATTTGCGAGTTGGTGATACCATTGTCGGTCTGAATCTAGAACTGCAACTTCAACAACAACAGTGGTTTACAATTTTCATTGTGGTTTGTTGTAGTCACCTATGGTTAAGGTTTTTATGTAGAATACAGAGTCATAATCACGGCAAAACGACGATCTTGAAATCAATATATTGAATAAAACAATAGGTTACAATATTGCTTTTTGTTAATCTTCGAGATTTTTTTTGGGTGGGGAAATTCATGTGTGAATCAATATTTCCAGAACATGAAAGGACAACAATTGGTAATTTTGAAGATTGTCGAACGTATAGGAAGGGTGTGTTTGGTGGAGGAAATTAAATTACCATATTTAATACTTTTAGAAGTTAGGTTGTTTTTACATTTCATTTTTACTTAAATTTAGTAGTAATTATTTGATAAAAAAGGTTAAAAAGTATTGTTTCCACAAAAACTAAACTCATATTTCATATATACTAGTCAAAGGTTAACGTGCGTTGCACGTTATTCTGAAATGCATTATAAGCAAGGACGGATGTCGTGGGAGAGTGTGGCACACTATTGGCCGATCAGGTCCTCAGCCTACTTTATTTTTTTGTTGTAAGATAAGAATTTTGTTAAAAAACAGTTTAAAAAAAAATTGTGTGAAATGAACATTTTAATTAATGAGAATGTCTTTATACACTATATTTTTTGTATGATTAGGAGTATTTGACTTAACTAGAACCTTTGTAGTTGCCATAGAAATTCCCCTTGAAAGTGCAACGTATAACTGTCCATGCGAAAATACATGTTGTGGAAGATATATTCCGACATGAGGTATTGTTTGTCCTTAGGCCTTGTTAATTGTCATTGCAAAATAGAGACGAACAGGAAAATGTTTCCGTATGAATTTGAACGGATATCCTTCATCATTTGCAAGACTCAACGGTATACGCGGAATGAATACATGTTTGCCAGTGTGTTGTCCAGTAGTTAGTTCAGCATGGATAAGATGTCTACTGAATTGACGACAAACCATTCTACTCACATTGCAGAGACCATTTGAAGGATCTAGATTCCTCAAGAGCATTATGGGACAATTTATTTTCAACGGTAATCGATGAGGTGGAACTTCATTTGGAAGTAATGTGTTGAGAAACTCTGGTTGATAGTAATTATTTGTGTCATCTACTGCTACATCATAACTGAGAAACTTTTTAGATTCACCTGGGAAAAGATCCATCATACTTACATTTATTAGATCAACGTTTTCATTTGTAGTGGAAAGAATTGCTCTTTGTATTATATATTCTAATGATTCTGCATGGTTTGCTAGTTCTGAGAAGACAGTGTTGATTAAATTGAACATGAAGATGAATGGTAATGTATCTCAAACATGAACATAAAAGCACAAGTTAAAATCATTACTGCTCAAGATAATGGATCATTGGTTGACTCTCTCAAGTCGGAAACACGTATTCTTGTTGGATCAGCTACTGCCCCAGCTCCTGTTGCAAATAAAACTTTCAAACCCCTTCTTACACTGCAGCAAGAAGTGCAACCTATTATACATGACAGAAAGCAACTTCAAACATTTAAAGTGCCAGTTAAGTCAAGGTACAACAAAATCAATGCCTCGATAAAAATTCTATTAAGGAAATAGTAAACTACACATTTTACAAGTGCCTTGTTAGCGTAAAGAACATACACATGTTGTATGTACTTGTCATTACATTTACAATGATTCTTTTATACTGACAAACTGAGAATAAAATTCCATGAACATAAGGTCATGTAAAATTTATCGAGTTCAATAAATAAGAATCACCTAACACATTCATCAAGCATGGAAATGAAATATAAAAAAATTGAGTTGTTCCTTGTACTGACTACATGGTCAAAATGCAAACATATATTGGATTGCAAGAAGGCGGTGTCATTTGCACTTGTTACAATGTATTTATCGCATATATAATGAAGTGCATACTCTATCTAAATTGCTCTTTACCTAAAGAACCAAACAATGAAGATCCTCTAGTAAAATAACATGAGATTATCATTATGTGATGTCTAAATAAATTCTCCAAACTATTGTGCATTTATTTTATTTTGTTTTCAAGAATTATTGTATTAATCTACGGTATAAATTCATTCATCAAGTTGATGTATACATCATTTTGTCTAAATTAATTCCATAAGACCACGTGTACATATAGCATGTGTGTCCAGTTTCTTTTGCAATAATAATTGCGAAGTCGAATATTAATCAAAACACCTATTTAGTTTCGAGATTATTCATTCATATGAGTTTAAAATAAATCTCCGATGTTTTGTTCATTTATTTTGTTGTGTTTTGTTTTTTAAATATAACATAAACTTTCTCATATTAAATTATAATTTCATTAAGGAACAAACGATAAAATAACAAGTGTGTTTTGTCTTAAACAAAAATAATACTATGTGTCTCTCTAATCTAAATTAATATTCAATCTTCTATTTTTAGTTTCTTGCTTGGATGGCTTCATGCATTTATCTCATTTGTATCCACCTTGTGAACTTCTTCGACAATCAGTTTCTTCCGTGCTCTTTCGTCTCTTTTCTTCACATCTTCGCCAAGAATTTGAACTCTTTATCTTCCGACAACATGAGCTTCTTGCAATATTCACATAGTTCCTTTTTGTTAGTCTGAGGATAATAAACGAAGATATATTTTAGAAAGATGAGATAGTGGTCTAATTTTAGTTAGAAGTGATATGATACGTTGAAAACACAAAATGTAAACTATACTTTTACCTTGAAAAGAGCCTCAGCATATTCGATCACAGTACATCCTATGAAAGACTCGGCAGCATCAATGATTGTGACATAAACTTCTTGATTACCATCTGAAACTATTAACCTAAGCAAATATATCCGCCTTTGGGTAAACTCTTGCACCGCACCCATTACATATTTCATACCATGAATTGTTCTTGTTTTAAACCTTTATAATCTTGCCTATAAAAGTACAATACAATTTAGTCACACTATTTGTAACAATGTCATCTAATTTTACGATAACAACATCCATCATCCTCTTTGTATGCCCCAACAGCTTGTACAGTCCTCCACCAATAGCAATTTTTTAGTGCAGTAAAAAGAAATTCAGCTATCAGAAAATCTATCTGGAGATAGTAGAAATGTAAATATAATCATGACGAATGAAGAAATCATGCTCACCTATTTTTAATAGCAATAGTTTCTTCAAGTTGTGGATTGATCTCAATGACACTAACATTTGAAGTTGAGATGTTTAGTTCACCTGTCCAATAGACAATGGTAAGAATATGGCATAGATTAATGATTTTAGCATAGAGTTCGTTTTAAAATGATAATAAAGTAATTACAAAGTATGACCATGAACATTGTCTTCTATAAACTTTCCCTCATTGTCAGCCAAATCTCCCCACAAATATAATTTCATTATATTACACCTATACTGAGAGTAAAATTGTTGAGCAAATAATATTATAAAGTTTATATTCTTTCTATTTCATTAACAAAATTTGTTTGATTTTATGGATGATGTTTACCCATTATCTAGGAGAATCGCTTCGTGTTACTTCGTTGTTCTTTCAATTGGCCTCTTAATGTTGATGACGAATGCAGGTTTTACTTTGAATACCAATCCTATAATATCTGAAAACAAAGACAAAAAATTGAACAAAAAATAATTCATTAGCCAGTGAACAACCGTATGCATCAGTATTTTCTACACCAATACTTTTACTAATCTCATGTGGAGGTTTTTTTTTTTTTTTT